GGCTTTTAAATCACTTTTACTTAATGCTTATCTATTTGCTGCTTATTTATTAGTGAATATTCGTCAGATCTCGGAAGCTAAGCTGGGTCAGCCTTGTTCAGTATTTGGATATCTCCAAGGAACACCAGGGCCGCGTTGCAGAGGCAGTCAGTGGCAAACCACCTTTGAACGTCTCTTGCCTTGAAAGCCCCACCATGGGTTGCCATAAGCCAGCTGAGACTTGATAGCAAAAAAAACAAGCCTAAGCTTTACTTTTGCTTTGCATTATTATTATTTTTATTGTTGCTGTTGTTATTATTATCATTATTTGCTGTGAACTGCCTCCATAACTTTGGATTAGAGGCAGTCTCACGATATTTTAACTCTGTAAATAAAGACTGGCCCTGATCTGGCTAGTCCAGGTTAGCCTGACCTCATCAGACCTCGGAACCAAAGCAGGGTTGGCCCTGGCTAGGATTTGGATGGGAGACCACCAACAAATACCTGGGTCGTGATGTGGAGACAGGCAGTGGCCAACCACCTCTGAGTGTCTCTTGCCTTGAAAACCCCACCAGGCGTTGCCGTGAATCAACCACGACTTGACAGCAAAAAAAAAGTTTGAAATGGGTTTGAAATGGGACGATAGACTAGGTGGCCCCTTAAGTTGAACTAGCAGTGTGGTTCTTACATTTGTACCATAAAGAGTTAAGCTACAACTGTTCTGGTCTGCAGCCCAGATGAGAAGATGGCTCATTCTTTGTTCAGAGATGCCCAGAACAGAGCTAGGAGGCATCTTGTGTGCCACCATCCTAGGATTTCACCTTTACACAGTACCAAACTGTTCTCCTAACATACCAAAAAGTACATATCCTTTGGGACTAGTCAGATAATAGTCGTCATCTTTGCCTTTTGGTACAAAGTTTCTGCGAACATCAGAAATGGCAGAACACGAGCGCTGTGGCCTGCGTGTTTGTTTGGTTACAGCGTGTTCCTGTTTATATCTTTTATGAGATAAATTGCATAGCAGTGAGCAAACAAGAGACCAAGTTTTGCAATGGAATTGGACCAACACTCTTAAATCAATGACACAAGTAATTGAATTCCTTACGCTTTATGAAAAGGTACAATTTGTACAGAAGTTGAATTAAACCATTACACAACATGCAAATGCTTATCATCAGATCCAGTTCTGCTCTGGAAGATATTCATATGAACAACAGCCCTTACAGTTTGTCTAATGGGACAAATAAATGCGAACCACCGGATGCCAAGTTAGGTGCCTGGGCTAAAACAGCAATTCAGCTGTGGATGTCTTGCAGTGCTTCACTTACGTGATTTCAGTGATCTTTACACGAACCCTGTAAAATAGGCCAGTGTTATTATGCCAAATAGGAATGCGGGAAAGGGACTCAGTGTGACAATTGCGTTGGGCCACCCAGCAAATTCCTTGCTGGTGCGAACCAAGCCCCTTCCACTCATGGATCCATTCTGTTGACCAGTACTTTACATCAGCTCCCGTAACAATTTCCTCCACTTCCTGCTATTGGTCTTATTTCAAGTATTTGAAATTCATTCTTTTGTAAGGCCCCAACAATACACAGTAGCTATTAGGGTAATTTCCCAGACTCTCTCAATATGGCTTCAACGTTGCTCGACCGTAGCTCTTCGCAGTTGTCTCGTTCCCACTTGGACACTTCATAGCCCAGCTTCCATAGTGCTGATTTGACAAAAATGCTCTTTTAACCTCCATTTTTGTCTCCAGCCGATTAAGTGCTGCAACAGAGCAATAATACCCTGTGACCTCAGTTTAGCAAAAAGTCAGTAGTTGGGTGGCTTCTGGGTTGTTGCTGTTCCTGGTGCTCTGGTGTTTTAGGGATCTGTGCTAATCCAACTGTTCCTTCAAGAAATTCCCAAGTGGTGTGATTTCAACACCTCATATGTTATGAGACAAAAGGCCTAAAGTTTATCGTGTTCCTCTCCTATGTCGAAAAGAGTGTGTGAGAAAGTGCCATTGGGAATGTTTATCTGGCCTGTAAAACATTATCAGAACAAAGTCCTTGTGTTTTGCTTGAATCCTAGCCAGAGGAGGCCTGTCAACAAAAGGAAGGCCCAAAGACGCAAGGTTCCCTTTTCGGAGGAGGACAGAAAAGGGCAAGGAGGAAAGATTATTATTTTTAAGTCTGCTGTGTATTGCTAAAAATGCATGTGCAAAAGGTAGCTTTAAATATATTTTTAGAGGAAATCTATTCCTACTAAAGACCCCACACACAATTTTCCAAAATTTTTGACATAGAGGCAAATTCATTCTTTGACAGAGTGAATCTCAAGATCCCAAAACTTTACGGAAGTGCCTTGTTCCATTTCAGATATTCCCAAACTGAAATGAAATGGGAAATTTCAGGTATAATTTTGGCTCAGAAATATCCAGACGCACATCCCTAGCACAAATGTTATCTTCCCTCAAGTCAAGTATGAGAACAAGCTATACATCTGTGCTACTTTCTAGTTACAGCTTCTTTATATTAGCAAGATATTTCTCATTGAAACATGTAATATTTCTGGAGAAAGAAAGCACAGATTATATGACAATGCACAGATTTGGGCATGAGTTATCCTTGTTCTTCTTCACAGTCTTTGAACAGTATCATGTATGGATTCTGTTCTAATGCCCTAATGTTCTGAAACTTCCTTTCAGGACAGGGAAATAGGGCGCTTAAGCATACTGACAAATGAAATATACATTCACTGAAATCTTTGTGGGCATCTGCTTTGTATTCTACCTGATGATCTGATCCCTTCTACTAGCTCAACTGTCCCCCCCCCCCCCAATATAACCACATTATGTAGCCTTTGACTGACTTTGCTACATTCTTTGTTCTAACGTGGTTGGGTAGAGTAGAGATGAATAACATGAAAACAATGTTTTATGGGCCTCTTATTTTCATTGCATTTTTTGTATCCTCTTACAGACCTTTTACAATCAGCCAACTATAGCCAGTATTCAGTTGAAGAAAGCATGTAAAAAAGGACATACAGCAATCATGTTGCTTTATGGCTTTCCCAGAACAGCTCAGATGGCTACAGGTTGGCCATGCTTGTTTTAGATGAGGCCTAAACATGCTTACGCCTGCATAGCAATGTACATAAATGCACATTGTTTCTGCCATCTTAAAACAAAAATGGCTCTCTGTATGAAAATACTCAGATGGCCGCGCCCATGTGCATTAGTGCACCCTAGAGGCCATCTTACTAGTATACAATATAGAAATATGGGCGTTTGGGTTCTAAAAGGATGAAAGAATGCACGAGCTTTCAATTATTTATTTCTTTGATGTTGAGATATAACGTTTCCCCTCCCATTGCTAGTCCCTCTTCCTTAATGGCTGCGTCTTTAAGCGCTTCAAACTTTTATTAATAAGATGTATGCTCTGATTAATTCCCCATTAACATAATTCATGCTGAGAGCAAGGTACAACTTCCTGCAAGCTTTAATTTTGAGGTAGGCCTGTTCTTTTTACACTTCTCGTACAGACAGTATGAAAGGAATAGGCCCATCTCAAAATTAGGACTTGCAGAAAGTTGTATGTTGCTCTCAGCATGAATTATGTTAATGGGAGATTAATCAGAACCTATATCTTATGAATAAAAGTTTAAAGTGTGTGATGGATGTTCCAGTTCACACAAATGGTGGCCCCATCCAAATTTCAAAATACTCCATATAGTCATCTCTGTAGCATTTTTAAATGCTACAGAGACCAGTTTCCCTGGAAAAAATGGCTGATATGGAGGCTGATATGGAGGGTGGACTCTATGGCATTGTACCCTGTTGAGGTCCCTCCCCTCCACCAACCCCCCCCTCCCCAGGCTCCACCCCCCACCCCCCAATTTCCAGGTATTTCTCAATCCAGAGGTGGCAACCCTGTGTTTCTTCATAGTTGTTGCACCAGGTACCATCAAGAGTTTTGCACTGCCGATAGAGCTGCCACCGATACTGAAGTTTCAGCTGCCACTTGGACAGCCACTGTGCAAAGGTGCTGATTGACACAAATGACTGCACTTTCAAGGCATAGCTCAGCAACCCAATGCTTTTTGGCAGTAGGTGTCTGTGTTGTATGAACTGTCCCTCGCAGCATACCTTGGGGACCGCCTCTTCCCATTTGAACCCCGTAGAGCACTGAGATCTACAAACTGGCCTGTGTTGTATGAACTGGCCCTCGCAGCATACCTTTGGGACAGCCGCTCCCCATATGAGCCCCGTAGAGCACTGAGATCTACAAACTGGCCTGTGTTGTATGAACTGGCCCTCACAGCATAACTTTGGGACAGCCTCTCCCCAAATGAGCCCCATAGAGCACTGGGATCTACAAATCAACACCTTTTGGTAGTCCCCGGCCCCAGGGATGTCCAACTTGCCTCAACTAGGGCCAGGGCCTTTTCGGCCCTGGCCCCTACCTGGTGGAATGAGCTCCCATATGATATCAGGGGCCTGTGGGATTTACTACAATTCTGTAGGGCCTAAAAGATGGAGCTTTTAGTTGAGGCAGGAGGCGTCCCCCCTCTTTTGGTTGGCTTCCCATTATTGTCCTGGATTGAACAGCCACCTGGGAACTACACTATAACTCTATTTTAGCTACTGAGTAATATATTGATTAGATCCTGCACGGTATTTTATGTTTTATGATTATTGCATTGTTTTAATCTTGTTTTAAATTGGTTCTCATTGTTACTGTATACTGTCTTGGCATTGATGGAACCCGCCCTGAGCCTGCTTGCGGGGAGGACAGGATACAAGTTCAATAAAATAAATAAAAGACAGGAGTACTGTTGTACTGTTTGCTTGTAGAGGTGCACATCATTTTGTAAATGTTCTAAGTCACTGCAACACCCTCTGGATGAGTGGCAACTAAAAAAAAAAATCTAATAAATAAAGTTTTGGCAGTAGCATGTCCTGTTCACCTTGGATGGTATCAGTGAGACTGAGTTTGGTAAGATGTTACCAGCCCTTTCTTCTTTTTGTTTAGCCCGGAAGAGGATGAAGCCATGGAAGTTAGATTCAAAAATTCAGAGACGCTCATTGCTGCTCGGCTGGAGCAGACCTTGGCTGCATTTGATAAAGAACTAGCAGGTAGGCTGATGTCGTACTTTTGTGTTTGTGTTGCAAAAAATAATAAGAATAAAGAACACAATCGCAGTCTTACCAGTTAGGCCATTTAGATGGCAGACAAAATTAGAGAGTCAGTGGAGGTGAACATAAGAATGTAAGAGAAGCCATGTTGGATCAGGCCAGTGGCCCATCCAGTCTAACACTCTTGTGTCACACAGTGGCCAAAACCCAGGTGCCAAAAACCAGGCGATGAAACTGTAGCCCAAACTCTGCTACTGCAGAACATCTTAATACAGAGACGATTCTGCTTCCATTCCTAGCCTTGTTTTACCACTTTAGGGCTCTACAAGAAGTGAGACCCGCGATACTCGTGGGGAGGGGGAGTATTCCTCACAGCTCCCCGCCTGCAGATGCAGGAGAAGCGGCAGCAGGTGAGCCCAGCCTTCTTCCTCCCCCGGCGGCGGCAAGGCTGGCCCACCAAGCTTTCTCCTTCCACCCCCCCCAAACAGCAGTGAGGCCTGAACAGTTCTCAGGCACCGGCCTGTTAAGCTTCCCCCCTCCCTTTCCCCCTGTCGGCGTCGAGGCCGGCCCACCAAGCTTTCTCCCTCCACCTCCCCCAAGTGGCAGTGAGGCCTGAACGGCTCACAGCCGCCGGCCAGCCAAGTGTTCTCCCGCAAGACAGTTGCCAGGGCGTTCTCTGTGCATGCGCAGGGAACGCTCTTTTACTTTTTAGATTTTTCTGCACACCTGGGGACTGCCCCAAGTGTGCAGGAAAATCTCCCTGCCCCCCAGGTGCCCCTGATGTGCGGATTTAAATATCCGCAATAAGGGGGCGCCTTCGCTATTAGTATATAGATAGATAATGGAGGCTTGTCGAAAAGCAAAAGTTGTTAACTGAGAGTTATGCTCACAGCAGGTATGATGGGAGCACAGGAAGAAACTATAACAAGCCAGTCAGCTTGTTAATAATGCTATTTAGTCTGATCGTTATGTTGGAAGGATAGTAAGTATCCCTGGACAGATAAAAGTCAATAGCTTCGGACAGTCAAATTATCTATTGATATATCTTCAGTAGAGCTGTACTGTGAAGAACCCAGCCCTTCAAGACTGCTATCTGCTGTGATGGAGACGGCATAATTTTCCTACTTGTTTTAATTTGTGCTTTGCAGAGAAAAATCTGAAATCCCTAAATAGGGCTGAAGAACAAAGCTTGAATCCAGTGGCACCTTTAAGACCAACAAAGTTTAATTTTGGGCTTTCGTCTGCATGCTCACTTCTTAGTGGGCATGCACACAAAGGCTTATACCCAGAATTAAACTTTGTTGGTCTTAAAGGTGCCACTGGATTCAAGCTTTGTTCTGTTGCTTCAGACTAATGCGGCTATCCACCTGAATCTAGGGCTGAAGAAAAGAAGGCTGCAATATCATAGAAAGCCATGTCTGTTCAAATGCTATAGCTTGTATTCTGTGTTAGCCACAAAACACATCTCTTTGAGAACCACCCACAGTTATGCATCAGTGCCTTTGCATCATTTTCCAGTCCAGTGATTATTAACAGTAGTTAGTCTTTCATCTCAGCATCTGAGAGCATCATATTTGAATGCATAATACATATAACTTGCTCTCTTTTTTTAAAAGCTTTCCTGAAATTCTAGAATGCTAAGGAAATAGGCTGTGTGCCTGACTCATTTAGAGTACATTTTCATGTGCGTCCTGATC